TGCACGCTTCCGGGTAATTATACTTATTTTATTATATTTGTTATTAATATAATTGTTTTTGTTCAAAATAATGTACTATATTTTTTCGTACAGACAAGGTTTGACATTGTCAAATACGATGAGTCAAAACGTGTTCGAGACAACATTGAAGCTAAGTTTGCTCGTTTGTATAGTGACCATCGTTCTAAGATGCATAGTCACTATAAACAATTGGTGAAGGCTGGCTTGGACCAAAAAACTGAGCCATACAAATAAGTTAGTAAGGATGATTGAAATTATATAATCGAGCACGTATTCAAGGATCCAAAATTTCAGGTAAAAACTTGATAGTTTATCACTAATGTTGTTGGTTTTTATTTACAATCGGATATTGTCTCTACACTAACCTATGTTAATTTTTTTATGTAGAAACGATCTAAAATAAATTTTGCAAATCGTGTCAAGCTACCCTACAATCATGCTATGGGTTCCAAGTCTTTTCCATCTGCAATGCATGTTATGGTTAAGTGTTTTAACTTATACTTTTTTTGTATGTTATCTTATTTATGGTGTTGTAACTATACAGTTTTTTAAAACAGAAAGATCCCGAAACCCAAGAGCCACTTCATTTTGTAGATTTTTTTCGTGAATCTCACTTTAGCAAAAAGTCAAACAAATGGATATCACAAGAAGCTGAGTCTCGATATGTAAGTATAAAAATTTTCTTGATGTCATTGTATTTGAGATTTATAAGGTTGATAAGTTTCGTTTTGTGAACAAGTTATCAATTATTTTTTAAATTTTAGAATTAGATGAAGGAATTAAGAGACAAGTCCACACAAGATGGTGAATCACATATGTCTGAGGAGGAGATTGCAAATACTGTCCTTGGCTGCAAATCTAGCTATAAGAGAGGTTATGGGGTTGGACCAAAACCTTCTTCAAACAAGAAGTCTAAAACTATTGCAAATGAAGAAAAGGTGACGAGTCTGAAGATAGAGCTGGATGAAACCAAGAAAAAACTCTAGAAAATGGAGAAGTGGCAAGAAATGATGATGCAACAAATGACAGAGGTGAGGTTAACAGTGCAGTGTGGTGGGGACATTAGAGAGCCGAGCAATTCAACTTTATCTTGGTAAGCTATTTTGGCTATTATCATATACTTAGTCAAATATTAATTTATTAACCTATAAATTCAAATTTTATATATATATTTTTTTACTTCTTATCTATAATGCGTTAATGAGTTTTTTGTGTTTGTCATAGATTGAAGATTGATTGTAAAGAACTCTTTTTAGATATCCAGACATCTTTTCTTTCAAATATTTGAGATATTTTGTTGTTGGGATTTTAGATGTTGGGTTGTTGGATGTTGAAAATTTTGGAAATGTTAGGAGTTTTGGATATTGTTTGATGCTATTGAAAATTGTTAGACGTTATTTTATATTTTGAGTAATATATTAATGTTTTAATAATTGTGATGTGTTTTTATGGATTATCTATTGTCGTGAGTGCATGATTGAAATTGGTCGGAATGTTTTTGAGTTGTTATAACTGTTTTTAAATTGTTATTGGACCAAATGGGATTTAATCATGTTTTTTTTTAGGTGACCAATGTTTTTGAGTTGTTATAACTGTTTTTAAATTGTTATTGGACCAAATGGGATTTAATCATGTTTTTTTTTAGGTGACCAAAACACGTCGTCGCTAAAACATTGTTTATCAGTTTTGGCAACGAAAAAAATTCTTTGCTAAAACGCTGGGTGATTTTTTTGGTGACAAATATGTTTGTTGTCAATATTTTGTGTACTTATTTTTAGCAACGAAATAGAGACGGTCGCTGAAATTTTCACATTTTGTGACAAATATAATCATTGCTAAAGATTGTGGTTAAAATAATTTATTTTTTGGCGACAAACAAAACGTTGACGACGAAATAAGAACATGTTTGACAACAAAATTATGGTCGACTATTGTGTATTTTTGGCAACAAAATTTTTGTTGTCGCCGAAAACTTTCCAGATGAGCCTAAAACGACAAAATGACGACGAAATAAGTTCGCCGCAGAAAATTTTTGGTGACGAAATTTATACATTTTGCGACGAGTCAATTCGTCGCTAAAAAACATATTTGTTGTAATGAGAAGGAGATATTTTCTCTTTTTATAAGGATGACAATGACAGATTTTCTACGTATAGAAAAGACCTTTAACTAAGAGCAATACTATTGATTTCATCGTAGATATTTATTAAGATTCACTGCTTATTAAATAATTATGATCGATCAAGTATCTATTTAAAGTTCAAATTTTAAGCTTAAGTAACTTTTTTCTTTAAGTAATGACAAAAACGGAAACCATATTAAATTAAAAATCCAGCTGGAGAGTCTAGGTACATGAGACATAAAGTCTACCCATATGAGACAGAAAATCTTGGAGGATAATTGGAGATCTGCTAGCACAGAGTTTGCTGCATGTTTTGAATTGACTTTATGCTGATTTACATTCTTTCCGTTACCTGTTTCCTTCAATTTTCTTTACTACATTACTAAATAAGTGAACTGTATAAGATTTTAAATTTTAATTGATAAAATATTTTCTCATTCATTTTGTTGTTGGTAGAGTGTTTACTATTATTAAAGAATTTTTTTATAAGAAAAAAATCTTATCCATTAAAATTCAGAACTTTATGCCCCTTGACTAATGCGTGATCTGCTCCTTTAGATTTTTGTGCTCTCCTCTTTATTCAAGGCATGATTGTGTTCCTTGCTCTTTTTTTTTCCTCTACTTGCTCAAATTGGATCTGGGTTTTGAAATTTTGTTAACTTATTCAACTGGGTTTTTGTTGAATTTGAATTTAATCTTACTTTTTGATGGTATGTGTTGCACAATTGAGCAGAGTTGTGATCTTAGGGATTAGAGAATCATTGGAAGTCTAAGTCAGAGCTCCTAGACTCTTAAGGATTGAACAATGGTGATAGAGAATTGCAAACAGATAGTTTATAGTAGTTTCCCAGTTCGGGAGGTCGACTAATCCACTCTCAAGGAAGTTTTTTACTCCTGAGAAATTTTTATTCATAAAAAAGAGGGATTACACATAGTATTTGCTTAAACTTGTTGCTTGTGTTTTATTGTGAGGAATATGCCTCTTATTTATAGTTTTCAAGGGCCTTGCTTGATCCCTTGGCGTGATCCATGCCTTCCCCTTCTAACGAATGTTATCCAGTTATTGTGGATAGTGCTGAGGCGCGGTTGCGACTTCCTTGCTTAAATATTTGACTGTTATGGTTTATGCGTGGTATTTCGATGGAAGCCAATTGTCATCCTTGCTATTCTCATGAGGGTGTTGTTGTTGGGGAGATGGTGCGACCTGAATTCTCCTGATTATCTATGATGAGCTTTGTGATTCGACCTCGATATGACCGAGCTAAACACCCTAACTCAATCTTATTCATATTTTGAGCATCATCACTTTTCATCATTGATTTTGTGACCCATTGGCTTAAAGAATGTGACAGGGACCCAAACAACGCTTTTTCAAGCTCTCTCTCTCCCTCTATCTCAAAACCCATTCTCATAATGTGTTTTATTGAGTTGAGTTATGACAAGGACTGCAACAAAATTTGTGCATACATGCATCTTACTATATAATAATTCAACTATTGGTGCATACACTTATTACTATTACTATAATTAAGAAAAGTGTCAAACAGTCAAGCGCAATATCAAAAGTATATAGCCTCAAAACAAGAAAAATCAGAATTTTGAAGCCACTAAATCTTCAAAATAAACATTAAAGTTGGTACAAAAATTAGTCGAAAACATTGAATTTCCCCAAACTTGTGAATGTTTTGTCTAAAACTTTTGAGCACCATGTTTGACCAAAGCAGTTTCATTGGTCTTCCTCTTGCATGCGAGGAGGACGAAGCAATTCCCTGTGACAAATAGATTTTTAGCTATGTCTTTAAGAAACACCTAGGCATATGCAACTGTTATGCAACATATCATATAAGTGCGAAAGTCTCTTTGCTTTTTATTTCATTGCACTCTCTCTCTTGTGCATGTGTATGTGATTATGGTGTCCATGTGAGGGAATGGAACCCCAATGAGAAAAAAATAAATTACATAATCAAAATAGCTCGAGTTCGTTTGAATTGAGCCCACATAATGTGATGGATAGTAATATCCACCATAATATGTAATCATTTGCAAGATTGATGCAACATTAATAACCAAAGGACACAAAAAAATTATTGCCTACCAGGGAAAAAAAAAAAAAGAGGAAGAAAAAACTCTCAAAATATTGTATTATTAATTTGATTAATTAAATAAAATCATAGTACACAGGACAATTTATAAGGATCTTCAAACTCCTAAAGGTTTTCAAAACGGGCCTAAATCCATAGTTTTGAAAAAGTTACTAAAAACATATAAAAATATGTCTAATGAATTAGAAAAATTGACATGGTTTAAACAACAAACCACTTTAGAATATTTTTAATAAAACTCTCATTCTAAATAAATAATAAAATAATCTGTTATGCACTCTTTTGTAGATCTGTTATGCCCTCAAGAACAGATAAAATAATTTCTCATTCAACAACCTTTGGTAACCTTAGCATGGTCTTCAGGATTTCTTAACAACTCAAAACAATCAGGATCCAATATAAATTGAAAATCATTTGAACAAAAAATATGTGGACCAGCTAGATCCAAATTATGCGGACGTGCCACTTGATGTAGTTTTTAATAACAAATGTATGTCATTGACACGAGAATCTAGTCCAACCAGATGCTTGGTGACATTTAGAGGTTTCCTTTTACGCAAAACGTCTTCAATGATATTTTTGATAATCTTTGATTGATACCTGCAATTATACACCAATCAACCAGTAAAATAACAAAAATTTGACAAGTTGAAATTTACAGGAAAACACTCTAAATTAGATGCTAATTTCTCGGTACTAGAACTATATTTACCTCTTTTAAAACTTTAAAACATGAGACTAGTTCAAAGGAAACTCTAAGATAACAGGTGCACGAGGAACCGAAGAAGGCTAGTATGAATTACGTACCGATTTTCGACATTATCACAACAAAGCCCTGCTATACTCCCAACTTGAGTAAGTGCAGCTCTCCATTTCTCCACCTTTTCAATTTCGGCCACAAAGCGCTCTGCTTGCTTTGCAAATGCCTCTGCAACGATCCCCCTGTGGTTATGTACATCAGACGGATTGACATCGTAAAATATAGGAAGAACCAACTGCCTAATTGTTTTGCTACATTCAAGGATCGCCACAAGCTCATCCAAGCACCATCGGGAAAGAGCATAGTTTTTCGACAATATGATAATATAAATCTTTGACTCTCAAATTGCTTTCAGCAATTCCAATGAAATAGATTTTCCTCGTGGTAGTTTATCATCCCTAAATATGTGAACACCAGCTTGATCTAAAGCTGTGTAGAGGTGATTCAGTGAAGTTTTTGCGTGTATCACCTCGAAAACTCAAGAAGACTTCGTACTTCCATGGATCTGACAAAGACGAAGAAGAAGAAGGTGGAGGAGGGACGTATTGAGTGCTTGTACCAGCCATGGACAAACTCAAGACCGGATCAGATTGATGAAGAGCCAATTCATCATCTTGATGAACTAGTAGAGCAAGAAAGATAAAGGCAACGTGGGTATGGGGGCAAGATAGATAAATTCAATAATTCTGAACCGCGGGTCTAGGGGGCTCCAGTAGGAAATTTCAGAGAAAGCTCGCGGAAACAACTTAGCAATACGACAAGGTTGATAGTAAGGCGGCTAGACTTTTGCTTAATTTAACAATTTTAAAATCTTAATAAGGGTAAATTATATTCAAATTCCTTAAAATTTGTCATTTAATCATATAGATCCCTCACGTTTAAAATATTACATTCAGACCCCTTATGGGTGACCATCTGATAATGGAGCAAACGAAAATGATTAAAAGACCAAAATAGCCCCAAACTACAAGATATTTTCTTAATTAAGTTATAATTACCAAAATACTCATTTACTTATATCTTCGGATTTTTGTCCCCATCTCTCCCTCTCTCTCTCAAACCCACCTCCCCTAAAGCTTCCCTCTTGTGCAGACACCCCCCTCCCTGGGCGAACTCCACTCCTACGCAGACCCCATCGGCATAACCTCTTCTCTCTCTCTGTGTCACACACGCAAACCCACCTCCCCCCAAACTCCCCTTCTACATAAACCACCCCTTGTCATAACCCTCTCTCTCTCTCTCTCTCTATGTGTCACAAACGCAAACCCACCTCCCCCCAAACTCCCTTCTTGCTCAAACCATCGTCGCGCCATAACCCTCTTCTCTTTCTCTATCACACGCATTTAAACCCACCTTCCCCCAAAGCTCCCCTCCTATGCAGACCCCTTCTCCCCAAAAAAAAACTCCCCTTGTGTGCAAACCCCTTCACCATAACCTTTTTTCTGATTGGTGGTGGCAGTGGGTTAGGGATTTTTGGGTTGGTGGAGGGGTGTTGATGGTGCCATAACCCTTTTTCGGATTGGTGCTGGCAATGGGTTAGGGTTTTTTGGGTTAGTGGAAGGATGTTGATGGTGGCAGAGAGACAAAGAGAGGTGTTGTGATGGAAGGGATTGTTGGGGTGTTGTCATGGTGATTGAAGGAAATTGGCGGTGGAGGCACTAGTTGAGGAGTCAATTGCTTGATTTATGGAATTTATTACTAAAATATAGTTTTTTTTTAAACTTTTTTACCAATATACAACAGTTTTGAACTTAAATACCAATCTACGACATTTTTTAAAAGCGGAATCAATAAATCTGACTTTAGTAGAAAGGGGAATCAACAACTCCGCTTTCATATATGTAAAGCGGCTTTGTTGATTCCGCTTTTAATAAAAGCATAATCATCAAATCCATTTTTTACACAAAACCGTGTTCAACAATTCCGCTTTTCAATAGGGCAGATATATTTAAGCCTTCATTGAAGGCGGATGTGTTGAATCCGATTTCATTTAGAAATCAAATTTGATAAAACACTTTTATTAGAAAGTGGACTTGTGAAAAACCTTAAACCCTAAACATTAAAAAACTCTACCCTCTAAAAATATTATTATCCAAAAAAAAGAATACCAATGGTACCTCCAAACCCAAGCAACAAACCCTAAACCAAGGGGAAAGAGACTTTATTTCTTTTGCGAAAGAGCATTACAAAAAAAAACATTCAAAATGAAAAGACTTTATTTCTTTTGTTGAAATAGAACTATAATATTTTATTTTAAACGACATAATACAAACATATTAGTCAAAATATTTCTAATAATGATCATATTTTCAACAGCATAGTGGTGTGCCGTGCAAGTAAAGAGTAGCAAAGAGAAATTTTTCATTATGATCATCACCACTTGATTCTTCAAAGACAGAAAGTTCATTATCAGAAGGCAAGGATAGATTGGATAGTATTGCATTAATAGGCTATACAGGGTCTGAATGTTCAATCTTTGCCTTAATAATAAAGTGAAATCGATTTAGCCGTTGTTCCATCTGATCGAGCTAGTATTGCAATGATATCATTGTAGTTATTCATGCACCATTCCACATACATTTCAACTAAATGTGCCTTTGGCACTCATAATTCTTGCCAACGACAATATACTTCAAGCACACAACACTTGAAATAAGATTTCAACCAACTTGGTCCCATTAGATGGTAATAAAATTCTAGAGGCAGAACAATGGTTGCAGGTCCAACCACACATGACCAATTTCGATGAAAGGGTTATGAATGTTGATTGTCTCATTCTTAAAGAAACACAATTTTTCATACCTTGTTACGTTGTTGGGATCTGTGTAATTACCAGATTCTGGTGAACTGAATGAAGAAAATGTTTCAAGATGTCCGTGGTTGGTTGGGAACAAGTCATCGTTTGTTTTGCTTAAAGACCCAATTGTTGATGTTGTTGACATTTTAGAGTAGGATTTACACTGCAGTTAATTATCTGTATATAAATAGAAACGTAACTTATTTTAATATTAGAGGCATTGCACTGAGTAGTAACTTATTGCAGTGATAATACATTAAGGAGTGAACAATGATAGTGACTAGACACTGATGACATAACACTGATACCAACGTACTAACAGTGTTTTGTTAAATCATCACTTATGACATAATACTGATACCAACGTACTAACAGTATTGTGTTAAATCACCACTGACGACTTAATACTGACAGTGATGTGCATCGTTCAGTGATGAGGCAAATCACCAGTGTTGCACGATTAGTTAAATCATCATATTTAAAATTTTTTATCCAAAGCTGGCAAAACAGTGACCACGACTAGCATCACAATATCACTATAAATTCATTGTGTGTGTTTCCCTCTTAACATACTTACCAACTGCAAACATGAGTTACAGTCCATGAATAGTGTTTGAAAGTATGGGTTATCATTGGGCTTTAGAGGATAAATTCTTCTATCATCTAAATCCTCGTTTACGTTTCTCATAGAGGTCAGTGAATAGAATGAGGGAGGAATGACAATATCGTTTTAATGAGAAGGAAGTTCTAAGTGAAGATTTACGCACTTGCAACATATGCAGGCCACGCCAAATTGCCATTAATATGCCTTTTGACACTCCTCAGTAGTTGGAAGGTGCATTATGGTGTATTTGAGTTGAAAACAACCATATGGAAATACGAAAAAATTGGTACAACCTCCGCCGAATTGCAGGCGACCATGCTGTAGAAGGTTTGATTGACGAAGCACATTTGTGCTTATAGTTATCTACGGAAGTAGGATGTGTTTCTGACGTTGAAATGTCGGATGAAGAAAGTTTCCCATAATGAAGATTCCTTGATCAATAACCATTTATGCATATGTTGGTTTGTCCTCCAGGGTTTGTACTAATGTATGTCAATAGTTATAATCATGTTTATATGTTTGTACAATGTGTTGTTGTAGTTTATCTGTGCTGTCATTGTGCGGTGCTAAAATATAATGTATCGTTTGTTGTCTTATGTTATCAAAAGCATTGAAGTGGAGAACAATGCTAAACATAACAATGCATACAATATATAGAAAGTACATATACATTTGAAAACAATATAAACTACAAGTTGAAATTAAGTATGTATTACAAATATTGACTTTACACATAATGTATTTTAAAAAATTTCGACAGAGTTTCACAATATCAAAACAACAACAATCACAACAACAATACAACCACAAACATAACCAACACAACCTCTACCACCAACACCCAACCACACCAACACAAAAACTCCACCACACAACCACATACACCCCACCACACAACCAGCAATAATACATTGAAACTACTCTATTACATACATGTGAATAAATTCAACAAATGATAAAACATGATAACACTAAGTATCACAAGACGACTTCTTCCTAAGCCATTTTGGACGTCGTTCCTCCAACTATTACGGATCCCCATCGATCACCTGTGACACCGGATCTCTGACTGGAATACTATATTTGACTCTGCCTCGACCACTCCGTCCTCTACCACTGTGGCATCTAACACCTCGAAATCTGTCACCTCGACCTCGACCTCGAACTAGTGAAATAAGATGGGCAAGTAGAGTCGTAACATGCTTTTGTGACCTATGTACAACTACGGGAGTTGTAGCAACTCCCATACCATGACCATGAATGACATCATTTGATGACTGCGAAATCTGAACATCTGACAGAGGTGATGTCATCAATGCCTCATGACAGATAGACTGAGTGGGCAATATAACTCCTAAAGCATGATATGGATAGCCATAGGGGAAACATGTCTTACGGTATACTCATATGGTATGGAGGTCTCGGTCAATGGGGTTGGATGGGGTGAAGTATGTGCTGAGGTATACGAGGGACTCGATGTGGATGGTGTCTCTAAATGGACTACGAACGGTGTCTGTGAATGCCGAGGTGCACTAGGTACTGTGTCGATACTGGCATCTACTTGAATAACAAGTCAGTGACATGGAGGTCTCTATCGTCGTATAACAACACCATGAAGTCGCATAGGTACATCGGCTGAATGTGGTAACATTGTAACCACATATGCCTCCCCGGTGGTTCACGTAAATGTTGTAACATTGTGACCAACTTTTTTGATTGCAACATACGATATCTTCTTCACAACGTGAGATGTGAACAAGCAGCCACTATTTGACGTCGAACCACGCCTGTCATTGAAATACTTAAAAAGCTTGTAAAGTATTGTTTCAACGCATGATGTGATCAACAAATGCCTTTCTTTTTTTAGGACAAAGTTGAACACCTCAAAAATGTTGGTTGTCATGACTTCATAACGTCTTCCACCATCATGTGCAAGTGTCCACTGCCTTTTTGGTATATGATTAAGCCAACGAACTGCAAATGGGTTGATTTCGTGGATTTCTTCTATAATCTTATCATACTTGCAGATTTGATGTGTAGTACTAGCATCTCATACTAAACGTTAAAGATAGGAATTATGAAACTTACTACTGAAGTTACTACGGACAAGTCGTAAGCAAAATCGATGGTATGCATATGTCATTTGCCTTTTGAAACCATGAGCAACCACCGATTGAATTATACCTTGATGACGGTCAAGTAACAGACATATGCTCGGACAGTCACTGACAACATCATGTCTAAGTATCCAAAAAAACCAACCCAATGTATCTATACTTTCCTCATTGACGATTGCAAATGTGAGAAGATAAATCTGATGATTTTCATCAAGGCCCGTAACAATTAACAACTTCACCTTATACTTCTCGTACATGAATGTGGCATCGATGCTTATAAGTGGATGATAGTGTCGAAAACCATCAATACACGGTTTAAATGCCCAAAAGACTCTATCAAACACAGCCGTCCCATTTCCAAGGTTGGCCAACTTTCATCTAACTATTGTACATTGATTCTACTTTTGTACTGCAGCGAGAAATTTTGGCAAAGTAGAATATGATTCATCCTAGTCACTAGAAATCATAGCTAACGCAGTTTTTTTTTGCTTTACATGTTTTACTATACAAAATCTCATACTCATACATATTGGCAATGTGTTGTATTATCACAACAATCTTCAGAGATGGATTTGCACTCGCGAGATCTTTAGTTTGGCATGCAACGAATTGGGAATCTAATTGCATATGGTCCTGAGTGGCTGACACATGCAGACAAGTGTGTGGGCCTTCATATTTGGTAATTTGAAACATCTCGTGTATTTTCTTTTGACAAGCACGAAGCCTCCACTTGCACTCGAAATGGTATTTTTTACATCGCAAAGCCAATACCTTTTTTTCAGTCTCAACAACCTCAAATTGGACATGACTGTTGATTGAATAAAT